AATGAAAAACTAAACCTAAAAAGGAAATAAACATAAGTTTACATTCAGAATGCATTTGTAATGAATTAGTGTGCATTTAACATGTAACTGACATTACATATACTATAGAATTTCAGAAACAATGCACATTCTAAAAACAAGCTACGGAGTTTAAATATGATTTATACGTCGTTTTTCACTTATTAAATTCTATAAATAGTAAAATATAGTATACCCGTCCATTAATTTCCATTATAGGATGTTCAGTATCTATTCCAATCATATCCAGTTGAAGATCTTTATTATCGAACATTTCGTTACCGGTAAGTCCCTCAAATTCTACATATACGAGCATTTCTTCTTCATTTTCAGATAACTCACCATCCGACTCCATCTTTCTTATGAATTGTTATGAATCATTTATTATTATTTAAATTCTTCTTCTTTTGACTTCCTCTTGTTTGGTTTTCCGACTATATTATTTCACAAATACGTTTCAGGCAATGACATCTAACATATCTAGACGGCATTCCACTTGATGGCCTTGAAATTTAAAGCTTTAAGGTGCCTTTTCACGCTGACGCTCGACGCTCATTTTCAGCGTCAAAACAGGTCACATGATCAAAATTGACGAATACCAAGTGTCAATTTTGATCACGTGATTCTTTTTGTCGCTGAAACAGCCGGTTTGAGCAGCTCGTGAAAATTTACCTTCAAGCGTCAGTATGGGTGCATCCAGAAGCACGACCCCTCACTGAGCGCTCAGTGAGCTCTTGCATCTGATTGGCATATTCCATTAGATCGAAAAATATAAACCAAACAGATACAAAAGCTCAATGAGCGCTCAATGAGCGGTCGTGCTTCTGAATGCACCTTATGAAAATGCAGCCTAAAGTAAAGTACATTTTCACGAGCTGCTCTAATTGGTCGTTTTAGCATAGTACTCTAACCTTAACGCGTTTCTACCTAGCTAACGAGTATATACATAAATACACGTTGTGCTCAATTGTACCGAAAATAATTGTTAAAAATGATTGGGTGTGTAGCCCCGTTTTGTAATAATTCGATAGCCAAGGGCTAAGTAATGACTAACGAATGCATTTCTTCAAAATAGCAAATATCGTGCTCTATGGGCCAAAAATGTCAGCGAAAGGTGTTGGGGGAATGACGTGAAAAATTAGACGCCTGCGAAAAATTCTTATCTCTGCGAAGTGAAGCAATATTTATTATGTATAAATTTATTATTAAAAAATTAATATTTGAGTTTTAATAGTTGACGTTTAAAATGAAGGCCGCGACACAGACTTTAGCATAAAGCATAATGCTTAGTGCATAAACGAATTAGCTAATCAGAATCTTTCCTTTCCTCCCATTCCATGGAAAAGAAGAATTTCGATTGGTTGATTCTCTTATGCGTTAGTCCGGATTTACAATAAGTGTTTTAAGCCTTAAGCCATAAAAAATTGACCAATTACAGTCGAATCCGAGAAGAATAAGCGATTGTGATTCGCCCATTTCTTATGGCTTAAGGCTTAAAACGCTATTGTAGATCCGGACTTAAGGCCGGAGCACAGACTTTTGCATAACGCATAAGGCATAGTGCACAAACAAATCAACTAATCAGAATCTTTTCTTTCTTCTCATTCCATGAAAAAGAAGAATTTCAATTGGTTGATTCCCTTATGCACTATGCGTTATGCGTTATGCGAGAGTCTGTGCTCCCCGCTTTATGCAATAGCTTGTGTCTGGGCTCTGAGCGTCGGCATGAAAAGGCACCTTTAAACATGGCGTACGTACTACGTATATTTTGTCCAGTATATAATTCGCGCTGATTCGCGGACGTCAACTGATGTCAAGCGTAAACGCTGCGACGACGGTGACGTGTTCGTCATGTACCACGTGTAGGGCATACATTTGACACGTCGCCTGCTACTCTGCGTTGTACCACCAGCCTGCGTTCGAATCGCCCGACGTGTGGTACGTTAGTATACATTTTGATGCCACGTTGCTGTCGATTCTCGCACAAAGAGGTGATCAAAAGAAGAAAGAAGCAAACTACGAGTTGTCTTCCGAGTGTCTCATTTATGCGTCTCAACTTGTAAACAATCTGTATTTTACGGAAACACTGTTTTTACAACGTAAGCACCGTTGGAGTATTTCGAGTGCGAGTGGAGTTTTCGAACAAATCTCTCAGTATCCTCTTGGATTGTCGATAAGAATAGTTTAACCATGGTAAGTATAATTAATTTGAATAATAATTTTTAAATTTATAACAAAGACTGACGCATGTTCTTATTTCTTGGAAAAAGCCTGCTGCACCTAGCGCTACTTCCGTGGGATCTGTTGGACGATCGCCTAGCAAAGCCATAGCGCCAAGAACAGGTGGTAGTGGCACAGTAAGACAGAGGAAAACCACCGTAACCTCCTCCGCCAGGAATAGGAATACCGGTACAAGCTCCGGTGGCATGTGGAGGTTCTACACCGACGACTCTCCTGGCATCAAAGTGTAAGTATAGATTAGCTGATTAAGAGCCAACGTTAGGCCGAAATCAGACTATGCATTGAAGATTGAGATTAAAGATTAAAGATTGAAATTTCACCAATGAAAACAAAGAAATTTTGGCTCCTTTTATTCTGATTGGTCAAACATCAATCTTTCAATCTTCAATCTCATTCTTCAATGCTTAGTCTGATTCTGGCCTAAATCAACGTAATGCTATTGATACCTTGATTGATCAGTTAGTAGAATTTGTTTTAAATTAGTAAATTAAATGCTTCAAAGCATTTATCTGTTATAATATCATTTGCTATAACACTGGTAACTTAATTCTCTATTACACCATTAAAATTTGCCTTTGTATGATACGTCTTAATAGTGTTTTAATAAATATTGAAATCGTTTTGTTGCAGCGGACCCGTGCCAGTGCTAGTAATGTCCCTTTTATTCATTGCGTCTGTATTCATGCTTCATATCTGGGGCAAGTACACTAGAAACTAGATATAAGTGCAATATGTTAAGATTGGCCTGGGAGAGAGATATGAAGCACTGAGCGATGCAAATTTCAGCATCGTGCAATCATATATTGGCGCCTCGAACAGGTTAATGCGTGATTTTTAATATGTATAATACGTTATGAATAATATATCATTAAAAGGAAACACAAAACACATGACACAGTGGACATCGTTACATGATCAAAATACATTCATATTTTTTATGCTTCGATAGAGAAGGATCCGTTTTTTTAAAACGATTTATCGATTATATGTATTGTGAGAAAACACGAGAGGAATTATTTAGTTTGCGTTTGTAATATTAGGGATGAAACATTATGTAATATTGAAATAAATGTAACTTATTTTTACCCTGATCTGTGGTTGATATTGTACAAGTCAATTTATGTAAGTGTAAATGAACTGTGAATTATGGGTTCCCAAAGCCGGCTACCAATTTATTATACACTTCTTTACACTTGTAACTTTTGACAATCTTATAAAATTGAAGATTTTGGGAGTAGAATCGAATTTAGGATCCGCCGATTGCGAATAAATCGCTTTCACACTGAGCCACGTATTAACTTCGCAAGTACAGTTTATTTATATTCTTATATTTATCTTATCCTATGAAAATATTTATTTCAGTCAAATAGCTTAATGTATATTTTTTTTAAAGAATGTGTTAGGAAGTTTTTAAATTAGAAGAATCAAATTTAGATTGATTAGACTAAATCTTCTTTTAAGTTTTTGTGGAATCTTATACTTGACATTTAAAAATAAAAAATATAAATCATCACATAAGTAATCCACGTTGCAAAATAATTTTTAATAAATTTATAATAATTTACATGTAGTAGAATTATAGGCTGCTGTTAATAGACACATTTTGCACAATTTAGATATATACATGAAATAAAAAGTACATATTTATAATAATTCATAATAATTCTTGTTAAAACGTGTATCTCAAGTACTGTTATAATAGTAAGACGTAAGTTTTTTTATTAGAATCATGGTTGAGTTTATTTAAATTTTTTTCTCTGCAAGCGTGCGATCAAGATGTTCTTGCGTTCGCGGCGTTGCAAGGGTTTCTGCATATTTTCGTTCCCCCCCGAGCGTTTTCTGCGAGGCGCCGGCGCATCCAATATTGATTCTTTCGATGCACTGAATTACACGCGACACTTTCGAATTCGAGAAGAACGAGGTAATCGCAATAAATAAAATATATACAAAACGTGTATCATTAGAATAAGAGGTCGAGAAAAAAATTACAAAAGAATAACATAGAAGATAGGAAAAAATAAAGATAAGAGCAGTGAAGGAAAAATAAGGGAGAGGAAAGAGAAAAATTTCTGATTAGAGAGATAAAAATGAGTGAAAAATATATATATACGTATATTATAAAAAAAATAGATACGTGCGATTAATACATGGAATAATTATGGAATCTAAGATATGGGGAACAAAGAAAAGGAAACAACGAATTAGGAAAGGGAGTAGACTATGAGATAAAAAGATTCGTAAAAATGAACGAAGAAAAATGCTGGAGAAATATATTATATATAAGATTCGAGAAAAAAACCAAGATCGATTAAAAGGTAGTCTTTTTAGGACACTCTTCGACGTTCTAAGATTTTCATTTACTTATAATATCAAGAAATCTGTGTGAAAAATAAAGCTCTTGTGATTTCATAAGTATGTAATTGTAAAAAATCTTAGGAAAAGAAACAAAAAAACTTTAGAAAAATACGCGAGCGCGTAAAAAATTTAATTCATTCAAACAATTAAAAAGCACGACCCGTCCTTGCAAAATCGACGCACGGAGGGGAATTGAGATACGCCGAAGTCGCGGTCCGTTTGACGTAGATCAGTAGATGTCCCTGAAAATAAACGCTGGGGACGGGTCCGCTCACCGCTATGGTCTCTCCGGTCTCTCGGCGGAGAGGTGCGCTCCAGAGGCGTGCGCGTCGGCGTCGGGAGGAAGGGGGGAAGGGAGCGGAGCGGCACGAGGGTGCTGTGCCACCCGACGGGACGGGGGAGGCGGCGAGGGGGCGAGGGGGTGGACACGCGCATCTCGATTCTCGCGCTCCTCCGCCGTTGATGGGGCCGCGCGAGAGCTCGCGAGCGTCGCCGACCCGCGGCGGACTCACATCACACACGTGATACCGTCGTTCGGGAGTGCGCGCCTCGTCTTAGTCGCGGCGACATCGGACTTCTTCTTCTTGCCTGCCCAGCGAAACGGCGTCGGGGCGGGACGCACAGTATCGCTGGAAAACTACCGCGAGAAATGCAGTTCTCCACGGAAGAGGTAATTTCTTTTCTCTCCTCTTCCTCTCTTTCTTTCTTTCTTTCTTTCTCTTTCTCTTTCTCTCTTCCTCTCGCCGCTTTGGAAAAATTGGAAGATCCGCAATATCGATAACGTTGTCATTCCGCAACACAATGACAGCGTTATTGATATATTTAAAGACGGAGACGTTCAACATCGTTTTATTCAACATCTCGCTCGATAATGGATAGAACCATGCATGCACGCTAGATTATTTCGCATAAAGAGAGAAGGAGGGAGCTTCGAAGGTAATTCTAAATTCATAAGCTGCACGCGCTGGAACGTTCTCAAATTATTCAAAATATTACTGCCAAGAACGCGCACGGTGTTTCTTATGTCATAAATTTCTTAGCGAATTTCCCTGGAAATGGTTCTGTGTCACAGCTATGGGCACATCCTCGACGCACCGCGTTTTCCGCATTGCGGAAATCGTAATATAACTACATACGTCGACGTATATGAGCAGTTTGTTTATCTAGAACATGTAACTTGTTAATTTGCCAGAACGTAAGATCTGGTATCGACCGCCTTTTTTTCGTTCTAATACTTTTTTAAGATAATAATTAGAAATCATACGAAATTTTATAATTTAGAGAATTAATAACGCACTTTAATTCATATTAAATAGTAGCTGCTTTTTTTTCCTTAATTTTTAATTTAATCCAAATTGGTGAATTTTTAATTCTTTTATATATTATATATTAGATAAAATGTATTCGTATATATAAAAAGGATAATTAAATTAATTTTAAATTCACGTGAAGAGATTTAATTACCTGCTATCTTAAAGATTACAAATTTTGTAAATTTAATACTATGTAATGTAGTATCATTAATATTTTTCGTTTAATACTCAAAATATAAATTATAACTAAAAATTCTCTTTATTTAATTTGCTTGGCATTTTCTTCTGTCAAATAATGATTGTTGATTCCGAAAGAACGATTCTCACAATTAGATATATACAGAAAAACTCTATAAGTATTCCATACAGTATAGACCTCCAAGGGACGTCCTAAAGACGTCTGGAGAACGTCCTACGAACGCATTTCCAAGATATTTCTCGGCTGTACGTATATTAAAGTGTTCAATTTTAAATTAAAATTAAAGGACTAAATAATGATCCTTTGATATATCGACGCGGATAAAATCGCGTTTCAGAATCCGAGGTAATTTGTTTGGAGATCGGAGACGATTAACGTCGAGGACATGGCGGTCGACATTTTGGACGAGGATCATCTCGCCGTGAGCGCGATTGTGACCGTCGGTATGCAGCTGATCTTCTTTACGATCGCGGCCACTTTCCAGATGGACAAGCTGACGGACTTTGCCGGCGGCACCAACTTCATCATCCTCGCTCTCCTCACTTTCTTTCTCGGTCAAGTGGGCAAGGTACTGTCTGACACGCTACCTTGCATCTCCTCTGGTGCACGTGTGACGCACGTAGGGAGAATTTTATATTTGATGGATAAACCTTAGACCTTTGTATCATTCATGTCCTGCACATTTTTTTTCTTTGAAATACTAGAAGCATCATTTATATGTATACAATTTTTTTAATTCACAACCCTTACTCTCTAAATTCTTTGGAGTGGAATCTCGCTAAAGATTAAAGAAAGTTGAGACAATCTTGAAAAAGAGTAGCTCAATTTTCAATCTTTAAGAATGAAATTTCATTTTTCAACCAGCAAACATAAAGTTGCATGTAACGTACTTGTTAGTTAATTGTAATTTCCTATTTAACAATATGACACCTGTGTTATTAGAGTTATATATTGTGAATCAGAATTACAACTCATGAATATGTTACATGCAATTTTGTAGTGTGAGGTTCACTCTAAAGGTTTTAGAGAGTACACAAGTACTTTCTAAAGATATTAAACCATATGTAAGAATTACTTATTAATTTTTATGTACTTGTAAAAAAGATGAAAATTAATCCGGGACATGTACGATCCAATTGTATGTAGTGTAGAAGGCTAGAAAATGATCGTGTGTACTAAAGATTAAAGTACATTACAAATTTATTGGGAAAGAACCTACTAAGATAGATTTGTAAAAGTTTTTAAGAGAGAGAGAGAGAGAGAGAGACTTGAAAATAGATAGAGAGATCACAAATTAAATGAAGATATTTTTTCGTCTATTATCAATGTCTTTTAATAACTATTAATGCTACTAATTATTATTATTACTCTCTCTTGATTATAAGTTTTATATTAAAATCACTTAATTTTTATCACAACTGTAAATAATCTTCCGTAATGATTGCACCAGATTTGCAAACCATTATTTTAGATTGATTTTCTCTCTCGAAGTTCGAATGCACCTCGAGATTCATGCGACATACTGCCACTGTATTTTATCATCGGCAATTTTATCTTCAATGAAATCGTTGCTATAAATAAAACGGCAAGATATAATTAATACCTATTAACGGATGATTTGTGCCTGTCTATAAACTTTTTTCTATGACGCTTGTTTTATTATTATTAATCGTTACAAGCATCGATGTAAATAATTACGTGCTTTTCTTCCCCATGTAGACGTACGACAGTCGGCAGATGATGGTGACCATATTCGTATGTCTGTGGGGCGTACGGCTCTCCGGGTACCTCCTATACAGAATCGTCAAAATAGGCCGTGATAAGAGATTCGACGATCGTCGCAGTAACGTGATCCGCTTCGCCGTGTTCTGGACATTTCAGGTAAAGTAGAGAGTGCGATGTCTCCCGTTTAATTTTTTTAGCAAGGATGTGATATATCGAAGAGATTTGTCGATTCGCAGGCTGTGTGGGTGTACGTCGTCAGTCTGCCTGTGATAATAATCAATTCTCCACGACATAAAATACCGCCCGCGCCAAAAACGATGACGACGCTCGACAGCGCCGGTACGGGCCTCTTCTTGGTTGGCTTGCTAGCTGAGACCTACGCCGATCTGCAAAAGTTCACCTTCAAGCAAGATCCGGTGAACAATGGGAAGTGGTGTAACGACGGTGAGAGACTACCTTTTGATTTTCCAGTAAACACTAATTAACAGCAACATACTCTTAACTTTTAGATCTCACTCTTGAATATAGATCCTTTTCAAGACAGGCTCAATTTTCACTCTTCAGAGTGAGATTCTACTCTAAAGAATTTAGAGAGTAACATCAATGTTATAATTTTACTCAACAATGTAAATGCGATATAACACATGGTACAATTCTCAAGTGTGAAATTATAACATTGATGTTATGTTACTTTTAGTCGGTGGGTTATACGTCCGAAAATACTTTTGCAAAGTTCCATTAAATTTTTTATACCACTAAGAAAATTTTACAGAGCATCGTCTAGTAAGATTTCATCAATAAGACAAGTGTTATAAAAACGTTCGCCAATTTGATTCTCATAAATAAATATGTATATATAATTAGGAGTTCTACATGTTGCTTTTTATTTCATTGAAATCATTTTTCGATTGCAATGAAATAAATTTGCATTTACAAGTCAACATTTTTAGGACTTTGGAGGCTCTCCCGACACCCAAATTATTTCGGCGAAATCGTTGTCTGGTGGGGGATATTTGTAATATCCCTAAACGTCATCGAAGGAGCAGAATGGGTTGTTATCGCATCCCCGATCTTTACGACGCTGATTATTCTATTTCTATCGGGGATGCCATTATTGGAAAAAGCATCGGATGAAAGATACAGGGAGTAAGTATCGCAAAGTGCATTGAGAATTTTCGCAAATCTAAAAAAAATAATATTCAAAGACTTAAATATAAAATTTAGAAAATGTGCCTTATATATGTATATTAAGCAATAATTGTACAACTTAATTCTCGACCTACATGTCGACTACAGTACCTGTTCAAATTTAAATATTTTTCCACCGTATAGTCGTTTTAAAACGCCAAAGTGTCAAAGACCAGTCGAGATACTGTTAATATGAATTGTATTTGAGTTGGAGGTAACTGTATGCAGGGGGTTTTTCACCGCACTTTCTAGGGTAAAAAGTTGACGTAAAAAGGCCAAAAATTAAATTGTACACCTAAGTTAACTTATTATAAAAAGCTGGAGTCTCAACTCTTAGTTGGAGTAAATGGAAGAGTATAATAATTTAAAGTAGATTTATAGTAAGATTAAAAAAGAGAGTTATTTAAATTTTTGTTTTTACAGTTCGCGTGAGAAAACAATATTAATATAGATAAACTGATTTGTTTTTTATTGTAAATTCGTATGAATTTCGATTTACTCATGTTCTGCAAATGTTTTCAGTAACGCGGAGTATCGCTACTACAAGCGGTCGACGTCACCGTTGATACCGATACCACCGTCTATCTACGTTGAGGTGCCACATTTCCTCAAGTTTATATTCTGCTGCGAATTTCCACTCTATGATTCCCTGGATGTGAAGCCGAGATCGGCCGTCACCGAATCAACGTCTATCAGCCTCGCAGCGTCCACGTAGCTGTAACCACACGCCGGACGTCCGAATTCTGAGTCCGGCGTGCAGTCGACAGCAACAGCTTCAACCAGTACAGCCCTCTGAGCGCTACTTTATCTTTCTCTGCGGCATCGAGAACCCCGTCTACCTACTGACAAAAATATAAACTCGACGGCCGAACCGTAAATCCCAGTCCAACAACACTCTATCAAGCGCGATATCGGCACGATCTCGAGGAGTTAGACTGTACTTGGTCATGCACATCAATTTCGGTATGTGGGAACCGAGAAGGAATCCTTCTTCAAGATGGAAAAGCTTATAAAAGATGAAGTATTATTATTTTTGTAACTAAAAGCCCTTCCCGGCGTTAGGCATAAACGTTACCGGTGACTTTTCGTATAGAATCGAATGATGAGATGAATAAAGAAAATTATTTTTGTAGCGATGTTATATGGGTACCAATGTAAAAGTAGTTTAACGACCAATTCGAGCATCGTTTCTGTACGACAAGTCGACGGTAATCAACGACTCGATTAGCGGCTTTATTTATGTATGTACTTAAACTCTTATTTTAGATACAAGAAGATTAGATAAAAGAAGAGAGATTGGAAATAATATATAATTTGTATGTTCCAAATATAATATCCAGGTTTAAAAAAAAATCTCTTAAAAAGCGTCACTATATTCAATTAGTCAATCGCTACTTTAAATGAATAATATTATGTGTTGTTCCAAGAGAGTAGTTCTTGGAAATAAATTAGGCAGGCGGTTTACCGCGCTCGCTGTCAACTAACAAAAAAGTATGTGTCTTAAATATCACAGAAACGAAATTTAAAACGAGATTTTAATGTAATATAAATAAGACGATGTAGCCCATTTTTGAAAATAATAGTAACTTTGAAAATTGATAGTCCGTAATGATTGGCGATTGATACTGTCGATTCGTTAAAGGTCAAGTAATTAGCAGAAACGAATATCGAGGAAAAACGGAACATGTGTGTTCCAATTTTCGTGACTCGGCAGCGAATAAGCAATATTTACCGCCAGAGATGTCAAACGAACGTAATAAAACAGTCAAGTTTACATTTCACCTATCACAATTGCTATTCATTTCGTTATTCATGTAGGATGCTTACAAAGAAATTTTAGATGCAATGCGAACGTGGTACATACGTCCACGTATCCCGATTGCAATTCCGAGGCTTTCGATCGAATTATTGAGTCATAGCAATATTAAACATATCTCCGTGCCGATAGAACGTTCTCAGAATACGAAATAAAAACAAATTCCGAAGGAAATTTATAAAACATATGTAGCGATAATTCAAATTAATGACGCGCATGAAACGAATTCCTCGTGAATAAATGATTCAAATATTACTTCCCAATACTTTACTGTTACGTATGTCTTCGAAGTTTAGATAATAAATAATTACTGATCCTGAGTTGTGGAATTATTGGTTAACTACCTTGCCCTCTTAATTATATTATATGATCTCATAAAAAAATGCATATTATAATATCTTTTAAATAAGATTCGGAGAGCAAATCGCGATAAACGTCGACAGATTACGTAAAGTTCGCTTCATATTTATAAACACATTTTATTTGTTCGTATGTATATCATTAATAAATGGTGATATAATAATGACAATGAAATGTATGTACGCCGAGCATAAAACGAGCAGTCATATTATAATAATTATTAATATATTCTTCTTATAATAATCTTACTGTATTGAGTGGGCCTACCTACGGTGCTTGCAACGTTATGTCTCTCTTGTCCAAATGTTTCTTCCATTCTCTAATTTATATTATTTACTCGCACGTAATAATCCATAATAATATGTAACCACAGGTGAAAACATATGCGCCGTCCTAAGTATAAACAGCATCATCCACTAATCTTTTTTTTCCATTTTCTTTTACATGATTATATATACATATACATACATATATATATGTATATACACATACATATACATATATAATCACGTATATATATAATTGTTATCAATAATATAGTAAGCTACTTAAATGTAATATATCTCGTGTCTTCTCGTGGAATATGTTCAGCTGCCGTAGAAAAACTACGCAGCGTTCGTAGAAAAAACTTCAATTCCCGTTATACATCAAATTGTCGATTTTCGATGCGTGAAAGACACTTTGTATTACGCAAGGTAATTTTTTTTTCCTTAACACGTCCGAAAAATCGTATATCAATACATGGGCAGCACAGCGTTTTGAGTACCAAAGGAAAAGAGATCAAAACATTACCTGTGCCTCTTCGCTAAAAGAAAGAAAGTAAAAAGAAAATAAAAAAATCGAGGACTTGGAGGGAGCAAGGAATGGTGGATAAGGGGACGAAATATTACGACTCTGCTATACACGAATGGCATCTTCCTCGCGTATCCAAGTCCGACTGCATTCGCGCGCGTCTACGTTTAATACATATACTATAATATACAAATAATAGATAATAATATGTGCCGTCCATCGCTTATCGCGGTTCCTTACTTCCGTTCGTCTAAAAAGTGATAAGAAAGGACTATGAAAATATCATATAGTCCGTACGAAATATAGGAATGAGAGTCGTCGATTAAAATAAAAGTTGATTGCACGCGCTTTGAGATGACGATGAAATGCAAACCGGATTTGTGGCCGGGCGGAAGAGCGAATCGAACTACTTTTCCGTACGGCCCTCTCAACTACATTTGCATTCCACATTAGGCTGTCTGAGGACGTCCGTTGCTAGCTGGTCAATTGGCGTGACTCGACTCTCGATTCGATTGTTAAAAGAACGCGCGCGCGCGCGAGAGAGAGAGAGAGGGAGAGAGAGAGATAGATGTAATTCAGTCAATCGATGACCTAACAATTGTTTCCGTAGGACATCGGATTCGCTTTCTCCTATCATTATTATGGTTAGTATTAATATTATTGTTGTCACATTCTTATTAACATTATCGTTACGTTAACATTAGCGTTATTATTAGCGTTGTCGTAATGAAAATCTCGGATCGCGTCGATGAACCGGCTACTAGACGCAACGGTGTTTCCTCAGATGATTTTCCGATAGAAATCTTTCAATGATACGCATCGTAAAAAATCTCGTACAAAATCTTTTTAGCAACTTTATTTAACACGATATAAAAAGCGAAGTAAAACGCGCGATACACGTGTGAACGTATCATAAAAAAGGAAATTAACGTGAACTAAATTAAAGAGAAGATTGCGTTACGTTGCGCCAGGACGCAAGGTAACTTATACACAGCAAGGATCATTGAGGGAAGCGAAGTAGGAGACGCTTATTTTCGCCTTAGAAGGCGGGGATCAGTATGCCCGTTCACGCGACCCTATCCTCGCTTCTTCTTCTCTTCCTCTTCTCCCGTAACTACTTCTATCTTATAGCGTAACGCTATATTGCATTTGGCCACTGTCGACAAAGACCCCAGCTGCGTCAGACTATTGCAGTTCGTATATTGCAATCCTACGTTTCTAATGACTTATGAGATAGCCCCGTTTTTTTTCGTTTGTCCTTAGCAGAGCAGAGAAAGGGCGTGTGGATTAGAGAATAATCGTTCCGGTCGTGTGTGTTTCGAGTGTGTCAATGTGAAGTAACGCGTGATGCGCATTGAACGTATATAAACGAAGTATTAACATTATACATGAGTCTATTAATATCTATACGTATAAGTAGAGAGCTCTAGTCCCAAACCTTATCTCTCTTTTTTGCTTTCTCTTACACACACGCACACTCACACTCATTTTCTCTCCCTCTCTCTTTCTCCCTTTCTCTTCAACACACAATCTCTCACTTCCGGCAACTCCCTTCCCTCGTCATCATTCTATACGTGCTTTCTACATCGTCCTCGTCTCCGTCGTCGCATTCACGCGACCACACACACGCGCGTACACACACACACTCTTACCGCCAACTATCCCTCTCTCTCTTTCTATCTTTATTCATTCGCCAATACACCTTCGTGACTCTTCGCCTTTAAATCCTTGAAACGACTTATTACTTCTCTTTACAACGAAAGACTGCTTATTTGCCGTCCTTCTCTTTTTCTTTGTTCTCGTCAACTTCCTTGTCCTTCTCGACTTCCTTCTCCTCCTTGTCTGCCTTTTCCTTGTCGCCCTCTTTCTCCTCCTTGGATTCTTTAGATTCCTTCGCCTCCTCCTTGCCCTCCTTCTCCTCCTGTTTCTCGGGCTTCGGCAGATGCGTGTTCATGTCCAGACTGGAGCATATCTCGTCCCAATCCGGGAAACATCGTTCTTTAACGCGCGAGCAATGTCCGACCAAGTTGGGACAGTTCTCGACCATGTAGTCTCGCAGACTGTACGGCGTGTCCTTGTCGATGTACAGGATTTGAGCGAGATGCGCAAATGCAACTACGTCCATCTGTACAAACCCAAAAGATTATACAGATTGCTAAAATTGTAACCCATAATCTATATTTTCTATCAATCTTTTACGTTAAACATAATTTTTTGCGAATCTTTGTAAATCAACGTAATATTAAGTAAGTGAGATCAAGAGTGATATATTTTTATCTATTTGTTTTTTCCTGATGTTCTCTTTACTAAAACTAATTAATTTTTAACTGAAACTCGAAAACCATCAAAGTTCGAGTCGATAATCGTGTTGTAATTATTTGCTCAGTCCGATGGGCAATATCTCTTGAGATAACTAAAAACACAAAGCTTTTTCACACGACGCGACGCCCAGCGAGAACGCCGTTTCGCCGCGGGCAGCACTGGTTTCACCGATATTATCTTCGGCATCAGATTACAAGTAACTGAAGCTATTATTTACACAGCGGACCAAATACCACGTTAGAACGTACTACAGTGATGCATAACTCAAGAGCTCTTGACCGCTATAGGCAACATGTTAACGGATTTGATGATACTTACGGTAGTTGGCTCGTCCCCAAAGAAGAAGGGCTTGTCAGCGAGCGTGTCCGAGAGCACCTTAAGATCGGTGCAGCCAAACTGGGACACTTCCTCCGGACTGTGCACGCCCATTCCCTGAGCCTTCACTTTTCTCGCACCCTGCAACCAATCCAACTACCATCTCACTACAAATGGTCACAATATTTTGTTCTACAATTACGTTTCCTTATCGCGATACTACCTCTAGTTAGCACATTCATAGCACGTTTAAAGCTACAAGCGCAATTTGTGCACTCCGAGCGAATACTATGAATGATTCTGGAGATAGCATAAAATAAACATTGTGATAACGTGTAAGTAGCGAAACTTGGTCGAAGTAAAATTCGGACAAAAATAACATTTTGAAGATTGTATTGGTTTCAATAAATATTTTTAGAATCTGTATCTTGTTTCAATAAATTTGTATTTCATAGTCATCGTTATATTCCATATTATTAATATCTAGATGAAAACCTCGACCAGGACTCAACTAAGAGAGCTTTAAGATGATAGCTGATGAGACTAGCTATACTGGGAAAAATTATGTAATGACAAAACTACAGTATTTACACGAATGCAATCTAGCATAATGTCAGTGATACATGCATAGCTAAATTGAGAAACGTGAACATACGAAACATCGTGCGGTCTCGACAAAATCAATGAAAGAAGGTCGAGGGAAGATTATTTTTGCATACAGCATGACCTTAGTTTGCATAACGATGGAAATAATGTGGAATATAATTATGAAAATATGCAAATAAGTTATATGAAAACGTGGATGCGAATAAATTATTAGAATTGAATGAGAAGTCGTGAAACATGAAATTATCATTCAAGTGATTTCTATCTAACGTCCAAGTTGTATGCTAGGTCACACCGAAATCACACCGATATCACGGCGAACGGTAAACGAAACTTACCTTGCGTCCGAACGTGAGCTTGAAGAAGAAGTTCAGAATAGCGTTCGGGATACGTGATCCCAGAGCGAGTTGCAGATTGACCTTGTAACCCTTCAGCACCTGATCCAAGTTCTTCGTGCGCCAGCACGCGACAACCCAGACGAGGTGATTTTCGATCATGGATATCATGGCGTGAGAGACGCTTCGTTGCTCGGACGTGAGACCAGCGTCCAAGTCCTTGCCAAATTTCTGGCTCAGCTCTCGCAGGATGATGGTACTGTCCGCGATTTCCTCGCCGTTCAGCTCGACGAACGGCAGCTGACCCTTCTTGGAGCGAAATTTCATCTTGTGGTCAACATTCTGGAAACAACCAAATAAGTTAAGTTTTTTGCCGAAGCGACAATACAATAACAAAATATTATTATGCTATAATAAAATTATGTATTATATTATTAATATATAACATTTATATATAATAATAGATTTATTATATCATATTATACATATACACACACATAATATAATATATAATAAAATTACATTGCAATAGTAATGACTGAATGTCAAACAGTGTATTTAGAATACTAGAATACTAAAATAATAGTTTCGTACGATCCAACATAAAATAAAAATACATATTTTGACACATCATTTTTTACTCGTTTGTTCAGTTTCGCAGTTTTTATTAAATCACAACGCGCAAGATTCTGTTTTTAATTTGAATAACTCGGAACAAAATCGCAGTGAGATTTTCTCTTTCAAGCAATCTAATAAAATCATTCCGGATTAATCAATAATAATCGTTTGTAATTATTCTGTATTCTACAGTGGAATATTGAAACGCACTATTGCGATAATAAATAATATTGCATCGAGATGGATAGATGTACCTACACTCTCGCGAGGCACATGCTCTATTTATAGACGTATGTATCGCATTAAACGCATAAGTGGGATATCGTGGCTTTCACAGGTGAATCAGCTTATTACATGTAATAACTGCGAACGTTTCACGCGTTGATATATAGGGTGTCTCTGAATCATCATTTGACCGACAAAAATTCTTTGGCGTATTTTTTCTTAATGATAACTCAATCATTGAATACAATTCATTAATAATATTCAATTAACTTTACATTAAATTTCTATTAAAATAAATAATCTTTCTAGAATTAATTGGAAAATCAAGATTTTATATCAAGTATTCATATAATTAAATTTAATTTGTTATTCAGATTTACAGATCAAATTAATACTTTTGCACTTTTCGTGAGAAATATTTTCCTAATTTATTAATATATTCTTGTTGGCATAAAATCGATTTTAAATACGTTACTCTGCTATTATTGGAAAGCAAATTAACAATGTCCGAGAAATTTACTTACCTAATTTTATTATATGATTTAAAATATAGAGCGTGTATATATATATATATATATATATATATATATAAAATAAAATAGATTCTATCTTAATATTACTGCTACTTCTTGCTAATTAAAGAAAAATTAAATTTAAATGCTATTTTCACAAATATACTTTCCACACAATTTCGTCACGACAGTATAATATAATTAATTACGTAAAGTGTCATATTAACAGTAATTACACAAAGTGTCGTTTTATCATCAGATTAGTGCAAGTGTCGTTAAACCTGCTAGGTGAGATCTGCGTAATACTCGGGACAGCGTGCCTTCTCGCTCGCGCAATTTGCCACGTGGAGCAAGTACTTGTGCTCGTAAAATACGGAGGATAATCCAGTCAAAGTCAAGCGAGAAGAACAGATAGTACAATAACGTCTCGCCTCGAAAAGCTCCTCAAAGCTGCTCGCCGGCGTACCGGAATGGAAATGAAACGGAACAGTAAATCGCACGGAAATTCGTAAAGGTATGCGAGAGGGAAAACGAAGAAAAGGATTAAGAGACGCGTGTATGAGCACAACGTGAGAGATACGGAAGAGTGACGAAACGAAAGCTCGGAAGAACGAACTCGAAACGAACGAACGAACGAACAAAAGGAGCAAGGCGGGAGCTGAGTCGAGGTCGGATGTACGAAGAAAAAGAAAAAAAAGAAAAGGAAAACGCAAGAAAGGAGGAGGACCGCAATGCTGCGTGAAATTTTAGCCGTGCTAGAGAAAGCGGCGTTATATGCGCCGCACGCGGATCTGCACAAGTCCGTCGACACGAGGAGGAGGCAACGTACGTAGAGCGGAGCTCGGGAGATCCATTGCTCTAGTTTTAACCCCTTCGGTCGGGCACACGGCGGCGAGATCGATGAGGGCTGGTATATAGCCGCTCATAATATGCGTTTGTCAGCTGTACGGGGGCCGACCGAATGCTTGCAACGGCAAGCGTGAGTTATCCGAATGAGTCATCCTTTTACCGAGTTTCTCGTTTCCCTTGATTGATCGATAGCTTCTCTTTTTTTTTATTTTTGTCTATTCACTCTCGAGCGATTATTGAACTGTGAAGCGAAAATGTCGCGACGTGAAATCTTTCAACTCTGCCCGAGGAACACATAAAAGTGAACAAAAAATCGAAATGATTATTACGATTCTTAACGTCATTAAACAGTAAAATTTTGTAACCAAGAATTATTTTGACTTTCTCTGATTTGGGATGTTCCTTGGGTAATTGCGAAGGAAATATGCATCGAGATTGACGCCCATGGTCCTGATTTCACGGCTCTCGTTGTTTAGTCAAACCGATTTTAATCTACAACGTCGATAAAACGAAAAGCAGGGTGGGGTTCGCAGGGCGAACGTTGCTCCGCGGCTCGCCCTCGTTCCGACACATTTGCGTCCCTATTACGTCATGTTTGTTATTTATCCGTTACATGTTTGATTCCGATATGATAACGATAATAACGAAGGCGAGGTCGGGGCGGGGTCGGGTGCACTGAACGCCCATTGCCCTCGATATAAAATGCATCGGCATCCCTATTACGTCATGTTGTTATTTACCGGATTTTCTCGCGTTTTTCGAGAGGACAGCTCGATCGATTCCGGCTGGTAATGACGACGAGGAAGGAGAACTTTGCAATATGTACTCTTCTCGATATAATACATCCCTATTATATCATGTTTATGGAAATTTCTTTTATAAAGCTATTATTTAAATTTTTATGGGGGGTTTTTAAAACGCTATATTACACATATTTCAATATTATTAATTTGTTATTAGAAAGAATCTTCTAAATTTTTTAACGAAGCTAATGCCCCTATCTATAACACGCTTATTATATCACGCTTATGTAAATTTCTTTTATTAAAGCCCTTAATTAAATTTTTATGGCGTTTTCAAAATGCGATTATTTTAATATTATTGATTTGTTATTAGAAAGACTCTTCAAAAGTTTTTATTAATAAAAAAAGATCCACTAACGAAATTAAGGCTCCTATTCCGTAACTCTTAAAATATCAATATATTATTATTGCGCAGCTTTTATTAAAAATTACAATTTCCATGACATAACATAGCTATATTATATGGAGAAGAGTCGAGAAGGGAGTAAGCCTAGAAATCTTATAATAATCTTCGACAATTTTCGAGAAGGGGAGTTTTAGATGAGCCACCCTACATAATCTATTGAAATCGTCTACAAGGGTGAGCCCCCGAGAGAACACCCTTCCAATCTCCGTCCTCGGTACACCGAAACAACGCGTCCCCATTACGAGCCAAACGCGCGGCAAGGAGGTAGGTACTTCGCGACTTCGATTCCAATTCATGAGAACGTTAACGAGAAGAGTGAATCCACGGGGCGGGGTCGCTTGAAATGCTCGCTCGCTCGCTCGCTCGCGTGCTCGCTCGCGCGCGCGGAGGAGCCGAAAGAAGTGGACGAAGGGTGGCTATAGCTGGATCGGTGCAGGCGCAAGGGAGGAGCGCGCGAACACGGAGGACGATGAACTCGCGCGGCGGCAGGCAGCTTCCGTCGCCTGGCAACGTCCCCACTTGGCATCCCCCTCCCCTCCTCCCGCCGGGCGCAACGTCGAACATTGGCGCATATGCACGTACACAAACCCCACTGCATCGTGCACTGCATCGTGTATGTATGCATTGCACCATGCGTTTGTTGTGTGTGATGTTTTCTCTTTCTCTCTCCTTCGCTCAACACTCCCCCGCCCCTCTCTCTCTCTCTCTCTCTCTCTCTCTCTGTTTCTCGCGCTCGCGCGCTCTTTCTTGTCCCCGTCATCGTAGTCACCCTCGTTGATCGTAGTCGTGGCCGCCGTCGTTTGCGCTGATATTGATCGCGCGGGATGGTGCCGTGAACCGCCGCCGACGCCGCCGATGTCGCCGTTTGCGCGATGTAAGAGCGTATGCATCGCGCCGAAAAACCAGTCTCGATCGCGGAACAGGGCAACAGTCTCTGCCGAAGGGAGATGAGGAAAAGAGACAAAGCGAGAGAGCGAGAGAAAGAGAGGGACAGAGAAAGAGCAAAGATGTCTCTGTATGCGGGGCACAGATGTGTCCAGGGTCAAAGTTCGGAACGTTATCGATTAAACTGGACCGTTTATGTTAGGTCCAGGTAAAGCAAGGGCGTTTGAACTGGCGTAGCATCGATCGCTTTTGATTACGTTCTATTTAGAGCAGAAGCTATGGGTCTCCCTTTAAGCTTTCTCGGAAAATTTGCGGAGCGCGCGGTTGTTCGAATTATGATATTGCAATTGGACGAGTCGCGAGTAGTTGTCATTATTCTTTCGTTGCAGTTAACCTTGCATACTTATTTTTAGCACTTTAGAGCGGCACGTATGGATTATTTATGTTTGACCCCGATTTGGAGGGTCTTAAAATGCTCGAAAAATTCTGTAAACATTTACACATGTTCTTTAAGGTCTCTACTAAATTATTCTGCTATGTAGACGTCGAAAAAAAGGTTTGAAAAAGTTCTAAAAATTACACAGGTATATGAGAAATAAGAACTGTTGAAAATGGTATGGACATAAATAATCCATGTGTGCTGTTGAAGGATTAAGAGACAAAATAGTCATAACGCGAAGTATAGTTTTCCATATTTCTTATTATTTTTTGAAACGTATGTTTGCGATCTTTGTCTTACTGCTATCAAAACAAAATGAGACATTTAAGTAACATACATAATTAATAAAAAAGAATAAAAATAAAATAATATATGACAAAGTATAAAATACTCTCTCTCGAAATCTGTTAATTCATTTTATAATTATAGACTCAAAAAGGAAATGATATAAAAAATAAATCTTATTAATCATAACGTAAGCAGTTAATCATTTTATCATAACTAAGAAATAATATACAAATATTTAATATATATTCATATATAAGGAGTTCCAAAACTGACGACAAATATTAGATTACCTATAACATATTAACGATATATGACATATTAAAACGGAGTTCAAAACGAAAATGTCGAGGCTAACATAATTTTCAAATGGGAAGAATTTCCCGGAATTTCCTGTATACGAATAAATACTAAATATTTCCTAAGCTTCACGTTATTAAAACTCATGACCTTTTCTGAAATGGAGTATTCTCAACAGAAATCCTTAAGAGGATATTCTCTAAAGAGAAATTTTTATATATATCCGAAGAACTCTAAATACTCCACCGAAAAGTACACATTCGAATCAGCTTGGTCCATGCCACGCGACAATACGCGCCGCGTCGCGCAATCTAAGCATATAATATCCGATCCCTCATTCATCCTAATGGACCAGAAGCATACTGTTTCCACGCCGCGTTGCGTCGGCCGATGCGTTCCAGCGCGACGGATGTCGCCGGAAGATTTGCATGTGTATGCCATAGACGTGCGTCGCGTGGCACAGTATAATTGGCTACTTGCAGCGATGCCCGTTGCACGCACAGCCGAGCGCACACACATAAAGTACCGATTTCACGAAATACGCGCATGTATGATTTGCATCGTACATTTCCACGCGAGAGAAACGCCAACCTATCGGCGTACTTTCGACATCGAATTCTTCATCTCCGCGCGAGAGAAAATTCCTCTCATCTTCTTCTTCCTTTCATCGCCGCATCCCTCACTCGACCCTAATTCTTTTATCATTAATTGTCAAGAGTTAAAGAGATTTTAATTCGACGATTGGCTTCGTCGAACGCGTGATATTGAAATTGAAAATAAGGAGGAGACGAAAGTCGCGACCCATTCGAATTTAACAGCTGAGAAGAAATTGATTGCCAATTTATTAAAGTACGAATTGTTCTGGAAACGTGCTTCGTTTTGATACAGCGACTGCAACGAGAAGATTCAAAACGCCAAAAGTGACGTTTTCAAGATATTGTAATAATAAAGTACAGAAAGAAAGATTTTGTTACAGTATTTAAAAATTTAGGTACAAATTTGAAAATAATTTTAAGTCGTAATCACAATATTGCTTTTCAACCAGTTAGAGAAAATCGGTGAGTACCTTGCTCTGATTGGTTGAAAAATAATCGCCAATAACATCGTTAACTCACGCAATCGCTAGTGTGATTATGGCTTTAACCATCAAAATAATTACGTTGGAATCTCAAGCAAGATGAGTAATGTTGCAAAAAGTTTTGACATTCTAGTAACCAGTTTGAACATCCTCCATAATTATTTTGATGACCCAACAGAATTATTTTCAGATCTGTATCTACTCTCCAAAACCTTTAGAGTGAATCTCACTGTTAAAGATTGAAAATTAAGTTACTTTTTTTCAAAACTGGCTCAATTTTCATTCCTTAGAGTAAGATTTCACTCCAATAAATGTAGAGAAGAGCTAAAATTTTAAATAATAATAATGTAATCTTCTTACGGACTCTCCCAAAAAATCCAACAAAACAGGGCGAATGAGAGTCAGCGTGATAATTAATACGCAATCTTAAATCTTTAATCCAGAAAATAGAATCTTTATTCCAAAAAAATATAACAGTACGTTTCAGTTCACTTTGGAACCATTCTCAGCAATACAAATTCAAAATATCAATTCCTTCATGTCCAAGAAAAAATCACCATTAATTAATATTCACTAAAGAGTATAAAACTAAATATACGCTTTTTAATTTGATAAATATACGCTTTTTAGTGAATATTAATTGTAATTGGTTGATCCAACGTCGAGACAAATCTGACGAATTCCTTCTATGCTTGGAATTACAACATCAAATCTGTTAATCTGATGGTGATTTTTTCTTGGACATAAAAGGATTGATATTTTGAATTTGTATTGCTGAGGATGGTTCCAAAGTAAACTGAAACGTATTATTATATTTTTTGGAATAAAGATTCTATTTTCTGGATTGAAGATTTAAGATTGCGTATTAATTACCACGCTGACTCTCATTCGCCCTGTTTAGTTGGATTTTTTGTTGTCAAATTTTTAAATATACTTCAGTAAAACCGTCCTTTTTGTGAGGGATTCAACGCGTTTGCCGTTCGTGTATCACAAACGACATACGTCGCGGGTGACGCACGAACGTCGAAAGTGTTAAGGCAATTTTAACTGGCAGTATGGAGATAAAAAAAAGAGAGACGAATTAAGCATGCATAGTATCGCTTGTCGTGTCATAGTATCACGTCGCTTGGATCAAGTAGATTGCTAGCTCAGCTAACTCAGCATAGATAATCCTCGGCTTCATTTCACTTACTTATATCTAAAGACTGCGAACATAAATCAGCTTACGAGCGGCCACATGTATCAAGAACTTATATTAAAAATTCCTTCCTTATGTTGATATATCGTTCTTATCGTCTTAAATATCCGTTCTTCTCTTATATCTTTTCTATGTCCAAATCAGCAGTTATTTTAGCGACAAAAATAACGATGTTTTTCATGTATATTTCCAGTCGTTCTTTTACGACAAAGAAAAAAAACCATTTGAGAAAGTTAAACTTTAACGCAACTTTTTCAGATGGTTTTTTCTTCGTCGTAAAAACGATCGATTTTTAATAGTACAATATGTGGTTGAATATTGGAATTAAATCGTGGATCGAAATAGGAAAGATCGAATCTCTCTGGATGCCGAATGCACACGCGCGCGCGATCAATAGGCGCCGACGAACGCCAAGTTGCGCTCTTGTTTTAGTAATCAGTCAAATTGGGAGAAACACCACGCCTTGCATTCACGGATGGTGAATTATCTCGACATTTAACCCGTTGTTTCCTCGAGCGTGACACCGTAAAGTCGCACAATGGGGCCCGTTCACGTCGCGTAAACTATCTTACGAAACATGATAACCGCGTCGATATCCTCGCAACAAATAGCTTCGAATAGCTCGTCCGAGGCTGAGAACTTAACGCTGCCAGTTTCGAAAACAAAATTGTATAACACAAACAAATTTTGTAAAACGAACTCTATAACTCTTTGTATAATTTTGAAGAAACGCGTAAGACGCGAGGATCCATAAATAATTCATCAATAAACTAAAAACTAGCGATAAATGTAATTAATAAAATAATTAAGACTTTAAAAATATTTCTATTTAACGTTTTATAAATTGTATATATATATATATATCTTTCTAAATAATTTCAAATGTGTTGATACGGTGTTTATAATTAGACTATAAATTTTCCAAAGAGATTTAACTCTCTGCTATTTAAAAACCATAAGTAATTATCTCCAATTATTCGCAGTACCATTAAACTCATATACCATAAATCCACATTCTATCACGTTTTAGAATCTGAAGTATCTTTCACATCCTAGATATTTACTGTACAACAATCTGCTTCTCACGAGATTATTTTTCCGTATTTAATTAAACCATAAGCAGATAAGAATTCTAAGACTTCAGTCATTTCGTATGATAATAATAATCGAAGTGATATGCAAATCGATTTATTGTACCAGCTTCTTTATTATCAACATCATTACCGTCGTCATACGACTAACTGCGATTGCAGCATCACGGTGTACCGTCAATAAAATAAACTATATTGAGTAAAGGTATAATATAGATAAAGAGAGAGAGAAAGAGTATGTTGCGTGAAAGAGTGTTTTGCGGGAGAGAGAAAAAGAGATGCGCGAGAAGCGCAAACAACCTCGGTAACATTCGGGGACGCGCGCAGATCAGCGAAGCGTCGTCTATTTTTCTATGGAGTGCAATGAACCCCCGCCGTCCGCCTCGCCATTCCGCCGGGCCCAGCGTGACGAAATGAATTCTCGCGGTCGAGGAATGTCAAGCAGAGAGAGAAAGAGGGAAGAGAAAGATGAAAGAGAAACGACCGCGAAGTCGAAGTTAACCCTTCCTCCCTCTTTGCCGCGGCATTTCTCGGCACGGCGTCGATAAGATAAGACGTAATGAGGTTCAATTGGAAGATTAATTAATTAAAACCCACGGCGAAGGAGTTAAATTGGACGATATTGCGGACGGTATGTAGGCACTGCCACTGTTAGGCTTCTATCAAAGGAGCAATGGCAATCCATTCCCCCCTTGAGTTAAATATTTTATTATTTTTAACTTTCTCATGTGTGTATCGAAAATGTCAATCAATCCATTTCTGTGGTTAGTTTCAAAGTAAATATCATCTATATTAACATATGTATATTTGGCAAATAATAAACTTAATCCGAGTCAAATGTAATAGATACATGTCAATCAAATGTAATAGATTTGTTGAATTAAACCTGTTTAACTCCATTGTTTTAGTCAAATTAACGATATATTGGGTAATGGCGACCTATATAGAAACAATTAAAAATAACTCAAATCGGATGTATAATTTGACATTATGAATTTAACAGTGTAAGTTGTTGCTGCTGCTGCTGCTGCTGGTGGTGCAGCTACTGGACCGGGGTGATCAGAGGAGAATGAGAAAACGCGAACTCGGGCGTGTACGAGATGGGCGGCCTGCTCCGGTCTGACGCGCGCGCGGGATAGAGGCGAGCGAGGAGAGAGAAAAAGAGACGAGGGCGCGCGAGGGATTTACAGCTGCCGGGATGCGGAGACCCGTAATTATGTTGCGGCCGGCCGCGGCGTTGACGAACGTGAGGCGTTTCTCGGCGCGACGCGACGCGACGCGACGCGACGTCGAGCTCGCGACTCCGGAACGCTTCGTTGTACGACGCTTCCTCGCCTCCTTCCCGACGACGCGGACGCACCGAATACGTTTACAGAGTTTGTCACAGAAAATAAATTTTAAAATTCCCTGACTTTTCCAGGTTTTTCAGATAAAATAGAAAATTGTCCATGAGTAATATAAAATATGTAAATTTTAACATTTAGATTCAAGGATTGTAGGAAAGCTAGTCTATATTATTAAAAACAACGCAAAAAAGCTTAGTAGCATAGTACAATTTTGTGGGTGCAAATTCAAGTCACAGCAAAAAATAAATTAATTTTGGAAAAAAAGAATGTAGTTATGACGAAAAATAGGGATCAAATAAAAATACTGAATAAAATATAAATTTTAATTATTTTCATATAAAATCGTTTAAAGCGCACAAATATTGAACGTATTTGGTTATAAACGTCAAATATAATATTTAAAAAATTATATGGAATAGAAGCAGTTTCAGGGAATTGTGAGCAAATTTCGAGATATTCTAGATTTTTTTTACATTTTCCCCTGATTTTTCTCGGTTTTCATGACCAATTTCAATTTCCCTGACTTTTCCCGGTTTTTCAGGTCTGTGGCAACCTTAGTTTAACATTTATATTTTCATGTCTTCGACGTGTTGGCACACCCACTGATCTAGAAATGACGGATCTAGAAATTTATCAAGGGTGGCCATTGACATATGAAATGATAGAACATTCAATTATTTAAATTATTACGTTGAAAAAGTATTATTTATAGAATATTTATTTAAAATTATATTAACATAAAAGAAAAATAATGTAATGCAATCTATATTTTATATCTAGAAGTTTTTTAAATTAAGAAATATTTTTATAGAATATTAAAATTATGATTAAACAGTAATATAATAAAATTTGATCAGCCATAGGAACATCCTAAATACTTCCAAATACGGAATTTGTTAAATATCGAGTAATCTAAATTTCTGATGTACATGCGCGATATTTTCCTGGCATGAATTTCACACGAGAAAATATTCTATTCGCTTACAAAACGAAATGTTGCTCGTTAACATTGTCAGGACCATAATAATATCTCGTATTCATTTATAAAACTTATATTTCAATAGAGATATATTTTAAATCAAATTTTAATTAAACTCGATAATAACACATCTCCACTGAAATTCAAATAAAAATTATTAAAAAAATGATCTTTTATTTAAGTCTGTATGATAACCGTTTCCATTTATAAAACTTTATTGTTCTCGAACATGAATTAATTTTGCATTCAAAATAAAAAGAGTAGAATTAATAAGGAAGAAATATAACGTTCACACCGTAAAAATTTCTTAGTTATCGAATCGTAGTCAAAAATTCGAGACATAAATTCTTGCTATTAAAATGCCCGAGAAAGTATCTCATCGTACTCTTAATAAATTCTACGATTCCGAAAAGATTAATAAATTATATTTCCGGGGCTCATTCATCGCCTTCGTAAGAATTTTTGTAGACAGATTTTTTCCTAGAATACGAGACCGCGATACTGCGTGACAAGTCGTATCAAATAATTACGGCGCGGGGCGGAGCGAGCTCTCTCGGAAAGTACGAAGCGCGCGAGTGGACGCGCGGCGCGTTACGATTCCGCTCTGTAACGAGAAGGAGAGAAGAGAGAGGAAGACAATCCCATTTCCAGAGCGGGCAATCTTGTCACCGACTAATGGAATGTAATAGAACGCTTGCCAGTCACCGCCTTGCCCTCTCGCCGTCCTTCTCGTTCCCGTCGCGTCTTCTCCCCTGCCGGTTTCGCTTGCCTCCTCGTGCCTCCGACGCATCCGCAGACTTTCCTCTTTGTCCACGCGCTTTGTTCGCGTTGCGAGAGATACGCGCGCGATCGCGCGCGGCTCCAGAGAGAAGGAGAAAGGGGAAAAGAGAGAGAGAGAGAGAGAGAGAGAGAGAGAGAGAGAGAGAGAGAGCGCGTGAGTGAGGCCTTTCGTCGCTATTTTAAGAGATGCGCTCTCGCCCCCGCACTTATTTCCGCCGCTTTTATTTCTATATATGCCGTCGTACTTGAAATTAGACAGCTGGCGCGCCGTAAAAAATCTCGCGGCGCAGGAAGATCAATTCCACGCGTCGAACCGCTGCCTCGTGTCTTATACGCATATCTCACGACGACGGTAATTTAAATATGCCGATGTTATGACTAGCTGCTTTAACGACTTTAGGTACTTAAAAATCTTTAGTTGTGAAAATAAGTCTCCCCTGTTGTATTTTTTTCAAAAGGAAGAAGGAAAAAATATGGTCATTATCAATGCATTCCTCGTTCTGCTGAAGCGAACACAACAAAGGTTCGTGAATCGTTAGCATTAACAATGGATTATGACATGGCAATAATCCGTAAATTCTTTGGCATTTCTGAAGAAAATACCCATGGAAGCTTCAAAATTTATAATTCGAAAATATGGTTCTTCAGTTTTTTTTGAAACTGAGAATGCATTTAATATTTACATTGCTAAAAATTATGTTATACTGAAAGCATTATAATTAAAAATTATTATAATTAAAAATAGTCTTGTTAATTCAACATAATATTTAATATAATATTTGATATTATTTGTTTCGTGAAATACTGTTGTGTGTATGT